ATGGTAAGTTTATTATCATTGGGATATAAAATATTATATGTTGTTACACTTCACTATAAATTACGCTTACATAACCTAAATACTTCTAAAGTATTTGACACGTGAAAATTAGATTAGATTTTGATTAAATTCGTATTATTCAAAAAACCTTAAGATTTAGGTATTATTATAACCTTATTAAAGCAGACACTTATTTTGTTCAGCGAATCCAAAAATGCAAAAATATACAGGGCATTCCATAAAAAAAAACGCAACTTTGATACCTTTAGAGCCTTTGGGACACCCTGTACATTACAAAAATATTTTAAAATATGCGCTCGGTAGGCGTCGGACAATTCATAAAATAATACTTTTCAAAAATCAAACGGTTTAGCCGCAAACTTCCGTGCCGCATAGCGTGAATAGCCCTGTACAATAGAAAAAGCGATGAGTGGACATTGAAGTCACATTCGCAAAGAGCGAGCAGCGATTCCACACGATTCCGCACACAAAACTAGAAGACAATCCATTTCCGGTGTGTTTCGGAATGTCGTACCGTAAAAATCCGACACCACCATCAAGTTTTATGAAATCCTCACGTGTGTCTGGCTTATCAGCCATCAAACAATTAATAAAACGAGTCTTGCGCGTGTGTGGCCGCGCTAAACCATCGGAGAACCGAAGTGAGTAAATTAACGGGCCCGTCCAACAGCATTCAACGTAATAACCGATGATTTATGGTCGAAAATGTGCCGTATCGATGACACAAGCATCCATTTTTCCTCGAAAAAACCCCTATTCAATTTGACACTTGTCATTGATGTACTTTTGACAGTTTCCAGCCGCTATTGTCAACCACAACAACACTTGTCACAGTTAGAGTTATAAATGTCATGTCAACTCCATTCAATAAACAAGTCTGACATGTCTTAGACGTCACTCGACAACGATTAGTTTGACGTTTCGCAGCGCCACCATCGGTAGTTGAACCAACACTCGAAATGTCACCCAAATATTGGCTGTTTAGAAGAACCAGGGGCGAATCCAGCTTTAAATTCAGGGGGGGGGGTATGTAGAAAAAATACAGTCTTCTCTG